ATTGTAGTCTACACTCTAAGATTGCATCATGGAACATTGTTGTCTACATTATAAGATTGCACCATGGAATCTTGGGACATTGTTGTCTACACTCTAAGATTGCACCATGTAATTATGGGACATTGTTGTCTACATTATAAGATTGCACCATGGAATCATGAGACATTGTAGTCTACATTATAAGATTGCACCATGGAATCATGAGACATTGTAGTCTACATTATAAGATTGCACCATGGAATCTTGGGACATTGTTGTCTACATTATAAGATTGCATCATGGAATCATGGGACATTGTTGTCTACATTATAAGATTGCATCATGGAATCATGGAACATTGTAGTCTACACTCTAAGATTGCATCATGGGACATTGTTGTCTACATTATAAGATTGCACAATGGAATCATGAGACATTGTGGTCTACATTATAAGATTGCACCATGAAATCATGGGACATTGTAGTCTACATTCTAAGATTGCACCATGGAATTGTGGGACATTGTTGCCTACACTCTAAGATTGCACCATGGAATCATGAGACATTGTAGTCTACATTTTAAGATTGCACCATGGAATTGTGGGACATTGTTGCCTACACTCTAAGATTGCACCATGGAATCATGAGACATTGTAGTCTACATTTTAAGATTGCACCATGGAATTGTGGGACATTGTTGCCTACACTCTAAGATTGCACCATGGAATCATGGAACATTGTTATTGACACTTGAGGATTGCACCATGCCAATTGATATTCCAAAATTATTTGAGATTCTGAGTCACATTTTCATATAATAAATGTTTTGTTGTCTGGGGAACAAGTTCAGATGATCCGTGCTGATATTAACCAATCACTCGACCGCATGCAATACAGTAAACATTTCAATTTTACAAGAGACACATTTCATTAGTTCTGGAAGTCGGTGATAATTTGGTAGTAATGAAAATAACTAGGGTCCGAAAAAACCACAGTGACTTTTGAAAACTTTTGTCCTAATAAATGACATTAAAATGTAGAAATAAAATAATTGAAAATTTAAACAATATATATCTATATATGACAAGAATTTAACATGATTAAAACAGCTACATAAAAAGGTGATGATAGGCACAACAAGTACCTACCATACCAAGGTACGATATTTCCAAAGCATGTACACAAAATATTAATGCGTGACAGCCACCATACTTCCTGCAAGCCTGTTGTAATCACCCACCTTGCTTGGTCTTTGAACTGGTCTATTTTATGATTACGCAATCTCTCATGCCCTGGAAGATCCAATATTTTCAAAACTCCTTTTTTCTCTCCTTGTAGCTTATATGTACCGGAATTCTCTTTTATCGAAGTCTGTGTCATCACATATTTACCGCTTGTCAGCTAAAAATAGAACAACAATAGAGGGAATGTCAGGGAGATATAGACAAGTTTTGAATGTCCCATGATTCCATGGTGCATCTTGAAAACTTGTTTGGTACAAAACATAAGCTGATACAGTAAAATATTCATCTAAATCTGCATATTCCTGCTGACCGGGAATGAATCAGACAAAATTGACAGATTTCATGATCAAGTTTTTGTCCTCCAACGTTTTTGTGCAACTATTTACAAGTCTGTAATTCTCGTAATTCAATAACAATTTTAACCAAACCAATGACGGGAATTATAGATTTTTGATTTTTTTATAGATTTTGATTTGGCCATTGGTGTTATACTACTGTATTTGTTCTATTATTAACACTAAATTAAGTCATATTTTAATGATCCAGTAAACAGTAAATGCAATGTGCATTTCAAATAGAGGAAATATGGTATTGTTTTTTCTCCAATGACTCCTGTTAGTAGTAGTTTAGAATCAATGTGTTTTTTGTGGTATGCAAGACATCTACAAAAAACACCTGGCATCGATGATCTTATTAGCCATAAATGTATATTCAAACGACACATACTCAGTTTTTGATTGGTCAAATCTGAACCATGTAAAGTAAGATTCTCTCCATTGGTTAGTTCTGCTCTTTAGCCATGCAAATTTATTCAAACATCACTTAACACAGATTGGTCAAATCTGAACATCAAGCAGTCTGTTGGCTGAGATAGTTTTGCTGTTATCAATGGACATTTCAATTAAAGAACTGAAGATATCATTAGAAAATGAACAATATGAATAGTATCAAACCAATCGGACTTACAGTTTTTTTAACAAGAAGTCGAAAATAACACTTTTATCACGAAATAAACAAATCTGAGAGAGGTATACCTGTAGTACCTATATATAATATCAAAGCAATCAGACTTGCATTTTTTTACGAGAAGTCAAAAGTATCACTTTTTACCAAAACATCACAAAATGAACAAATCTAAGAGAGGTTTACCCAAGGTACATATACACAAAGTATTAAAGCATTCAGGCTGTAAGTTGTAGTTTTCAGGAAGAACTCGAAAAAGTAAAACATTGACACAGACTCCGACGGACAATCACTCATATGATAAGCTCCACTCGACAAAGTCGACAACGGAGCTAAAAAAAGTTGAAATTATCCATAACAATGATAATATCTTTGAGAACTTTTTATGAAAAAGTAAAGCTCGGGGAGAAAAATTACGCTTGTACTGTATCTGACTGATGTAACTGACTATCATTGTGTTTGACTATCATTGTTCGATGCTGAGCATATTCACTCACCTTACTAAACAACAAGGTCTTTCCAGAATCACATAATCCAACAAGTAGTACACCTCTTCTAGTGTTCTTTCTACCGAGAATTATCTTGAACAGAACTGTAATAATTATGAATTTCATTAAAATTATTGTATTTATTTCAAATTTGAGTTTCAATAAACTTAATTATTAGTATTAAGTGACAGAAAACTCAATCAAATGAGATGAAATAGAACCAGTTAAAATATTGAGTATTTGAGCAGAAACTACAAGTTTTAACCCAAGAATAATATTGGTTAACAAGTCACTAAAAATTAACTTCCACATTTAGGGCCACTTATCATTATTCTAATGATACAACAGATATATTTCACAGATGGGAGTGGTCTATTTTAATGCTGAGATGAAGAAGACAATGTCTTTTGCACTTGTTGTTTTATTGTTTATTTTATCCGAATCAATAAACGATAAATCTACATTCTGATTATTTTTTTTTATCATGCTACGTATGATGGAAGTGTACTTCACTGCAGTCAAGATGATGGTTGTGCGTGGAATTGAACAGGTCGTTAGTTTTCACTTTTAAATGTTTATGGGTTTCTATGAATCTTTGTTCACATAATACTTAGAATTCAATTCTGGCCTTCATTTCATGATGGGGTAAAAGTGTTATTCCTGTTCAATTTTAACAATGTTAGCTATTAATTCACATCTTATTTGTTTTATCGATCAGTATTGTATCTGTGGTGTCAAAAATAAATATCATCTTGTGTTAGCTTATTTTTAATGTGACAATATAAACAGTCAAAATAAACGTTCGAAAACTGCAGCAATTATCCTACTTCCAAAGAAACAAAGTCAATGTTCTTCCTGTGGTTTGTAGTTCCATGATTGGAGCTTGCTCTCTCAAGCAAATTCTGACTGGTACATTAAAGTTTCTGGAGAAACACTAACTGACCTCTGCTTTTTATAATTCAAAAATGTAAAGTGGAATTGACGGAAACATTGAAAAAATTTCATTTAAAAAGAAATGTAGGTACAAAAATCTGGTTAGGATGATGGTTTTGGTTAGGTTTAGTTTTTCATGTTTCCATGACCACTCTCCCAGGTTTCAATTTCCGGAAATTCTACACGATGATTCACATTTTTGCAACAGTTCTTTAAAACCGGATCACCCCTACCTGAACCCTAACCCTACCCCTAAACCAGACCACCCCTACCTGAACCCTAACCCTAACCATGGAGGTAGAAAAGAGAAGGAGTGAGAACGCTATTGTTTCCGCTGGTTTCATAATGCTTTGGATTTATTTACTCAGTACACATTGTAATTATTTGGCAATCACGCTGTCAAGTGTCACCGTTAATCGGCTTACATGTTTCGGCTGTATTCGGAAACTTCACAAAGATTCACGACGCACTGCTCATGCCCAAACAGATAACAATAATACAAAATGCAGCGAAAGATGTACGCTGAGTGTACTCAATACCCCAAATCTATTGTAACATAAGGCGCGATTTTCAACATCTGCACAGTTCTGCACACCGATGAAAATGCCCCGTCAAAACATCTCGCCATAAACTTATCATGTATCTTTACATTTCACTGCAAAAATTTGTGGGATTTTTTTAATCAATGTCCAAAGTTGCACGACTATTTCGATGAAAAATATCAGAAAAGAAGTAATCACACATCTTGGAAGCATCAATATACAAAATTTCCAGTGCCTACAAGTGTGAAATGACCTTTATGACCCGATGAAGGTCATTGCGCACGCACAATTCTTTTATTCATGGTTTGCGCATTCAATTTTATAGACAATGTTTAAACAGAATTTATTTTTTTCAGTTCTACTCTCGTTTTCTTGTGTAAATAAGCGACTATCATCATGTAGATAAAACGACTTCTAAACAAAAACAATAATTGGTTTAACCAGAGAGAAGACAAAGGGTGTTTATAAGATTGACATGGGCTTAAATAGCGTCCTCACTCCTTCTCTTTTCTACCTCCATGCCCTAACCACAGTCCCTCAACACTATGCACTAACACTCCAGCTCCCATGTAATTCAATATGCCCCTCCAAATAATTATAAGTGATCTAAAGAGGGGTATATAGAATTGAAATGGAGGAGGGGTAGTGGAGGGACAGGGTTGGGATTAGAGTTATGGGCGAGAGGGGCCTAAGGATGGAGCTCCATGACCTAAGGAACTCTTACCAAATAGTATCCATTCATTCACGCTCTCAGTTCCGTCTTTTTGTGATCGCATTCATAGACAATATGAAGTTATATAATTTAGTTCTTGGGTTCTCTGTATCGCGTTATTTTTTATCGGAAGGTTCATTTTATGCTCGCAGAGTTTTTGCGCACAAAATATACAAATATAGACTACTGAATTGCAGCTAAGAAAGCACATGTGGTATAACTACGAATAGATTTTTATTCTGAACCACAACACATGTGCCTTTGAAATGGTACCATATGTTCAGTGAATGGAATATTATCTTCAGAAACACAATTTGGTTAAAAAATACTAACCTATTGTTAGAATAACTACAGCTAAAGCAACCACAACACTCAAAACAACGGGATCTTGTTTGGATATTTCTTGTTTCAATAAATTCACGTAGCGATCAATTTCTCGAAGCTCTTTGGTCGCCATATTGAAACTGATGCAAGCGACAAGCTCCCTCACTGGATGTAACTGCAATAACTTTTGTTTTTGTTATAAAGGCGCATGTGTGATGGCGCTCACACTCGATGAACGTTGTTGTACAATATCGGGGGGGGGGGCAAGGGTTATTTTCGTTCAACGTAATTGCAATATTTTTTTGTCCGTACAACGTAAATAGAAAAAAATAAATTTCGTAATTCTGTAATCAAAGGCTAGACGTACAACGTAATCAATCAAATATTTTTTTTGTACACTGTAAAAATGTGTCATTTTTCTCGTACGTACAAGAATTTACATCCAAAAAATCGTAAAGAAGAATCCAGGGAAATTACATTTTAGAAACTGTAAAACGACTAGATGACACAATTCACTACAAAATTGAATGTCAAGACGCAAAAGGTCCTCTAACCGAATGAAGAGCATTACGAGGGTAATATGCGCATGCGTCTCTACACTCGGCGAGGCAATGGCGGAGAATATTTGAGTCGGAGAGTTCTTTGGACCATTCAATGTACCATTTTTTTAACACTGTAAACTGTATAAACGTCTTTTTTTCCTTGTAAATTGTAAAAAGCCCTTTTTATTTCCCGTAAAACCGTACCAGCTACCCCCCTTGCCCCCCCCTCAATATCTGCTCCATCTGTTAATTTATTTTCACTATTTTGATGTTTTGAGCAATTTCACTGGGTTTTAAGTTCTAATAATATTATAAAAGTTCAACGAAAAACTACAGTAGTAGAATTATCCCCAAGCTGCATTCTGTACAACCAATTATTGTGCCTGCAACAGTTCACACAGGTCTTATCCAATTTCAGACCATTTTATAAACTTATTAATCCTGATTCAATCTGATTTAAATAAATATGAAAGTAAACAAAAAATATTTATTATAATTTTTATTATTTTGTAATTTTTTTTATTATGTGAATCTTATTTTGCAATTTTTTTTTATTATGTGAATCTTATTTTGTAATTTTTTTTATTATGTGAATCTTATTTTGTATTATTTTAAATATCACCACCCTTGTGGGGTTTCATGATAAACTAAACTTGAAAAAAATACCAGCAACTAAAAATACAAATAAAAAAAATATCAAATATATGAAAATTAATTAAATGCATATTTGAAAAAATGCAATAAAAAAAAACAAATAATTTGTTAACTCAGTTCAGAAGTAAACATATCCTCGGGGGCGGACATCCGGGCATTTTCTACCGCCTGGCAACCCTCGCGGTGAAAACAAAGACCAAAAACTCGCAGAAAACGGTACTTTGCGATGGTTGATGAGAGTCCCCTGAACAGTGTAACAAGATTAGCCCTACGTGTGTAACATATATGAATTTGGTTGTTCAGGATTACTTCAAAGATGAGTTTGTGTTGTTTTCTCGAGTTTTCACCGGCTCTACCGGCATTCCACAGCAGCACGCACAAAGCCCATAGAAATACGTGGTACAGTGGTGCGCGTCTTAGCAACGTAGAACGTCTGTGACGTAGCTCCGCCCCCGAGGATAAGTCAAGATCAGTAAAAAATTGAGGACAAATAGTAAGTAGTGAATTGTTTTTGGATTATATTTCATACAATGTAATTGAAATAAGATTCTAGTTTGAAATTTTTTTAGTTTAGCTATTTATTTTTCCTTATTATACATCTCTCACTGTAAAGCCACAAGTTACAGCGCGCCGTGATTTTGCAGTATTTTACGGGGTGTTTTCATCCTACCATGTTAGGAAATGCTAATTCCAAGTATGGAATGATTACACGCGTAAGTGTCCTCTAATAATAAAAGCAAACATGGCAGATCCCAGGGTTTGACTGGACTCCACACAAAGAAGTTCGCTGATTCTGTTCTAAACATTTTGGATTTTGGCATTTCCATGATGCACTAGTATCCTAGGGAGGAAAAAATGTATACTGCATGTAATAATGTTATTACGAGGATACCGAAAAGTATGCTGCGCATACTCCCGCTGTACTGTCTATGTGCATACTTTTGGGTATCCTCGTAATAACCTCATATAATAAAATAATGAAAGATTACATAATAATAATGAAAAAATAATTAATAATATTAAATTATATTTAAAAAAAAAAACCATATACTATAAATCAGATTTCCATCCTATTGACGTTTCATATTGTTGATTTTTTTTTCTGGATATTTGCAAAACCTCATTAAAAAAAAATCTTTTACTAAATGTTTTTGTGAAGGCTTGGCAGCTCAAACAAAGTAATATATGATAAAATTTACATAGCATCAAATTTTTTTTAACACAACTACAGTTAATTAGTCAATCACTCCGATTTCCTCCTTTATAATGTTTTTATTTAATTCTGGAAATGACTGGATGTATGTTCTTGATGGATACAACATATTCACCAAAACTTGTAATACTTAACATTCTGTGTGGCAAGTCCACTTCTGTCATCTCACTTTCACAAAATATAACATTTCGATCAACACAAGTAAACAATTTATGATCCATTTGATCCAAAATTAACAAAATCATAAAAAAATGCTTAAAAATTTGCAAATATTTATACCTAATATTTGATGGGTAAGCTTATATTGTTTAAAGGAATAATTGGACATTCATATGTCATGTGTCTCTTCCTCTGACTATATTTGATCAAGGATTTATAAGATTGGGATATGCAAATGAGCGATATGCGACATCTCTTGTGAATTTACGCGAATTGCGAGATGATCTACATTTCTAAAACTCCTAATGCAATATTAGAGATTTTAAATTCAAGACGAAATTTGCGTAATCCGCCACAAAAATTAAATGATTTGATTTTGAACATGAATTTTTTTTTTTGAAGTTCAATGTTGAAATGCTTTCAGAAAGAAACATGACACTGAGGTACCAAAATATTTCATTAAATATATAGCACATTATTAAGAGTACAAATACTGCAAGTTCACATGGATTTAATTAAGCAAATTTCCCTTATCAGTGAAAATCAGCGAATAATTATTGCATTTACAGTACTGTAAAAAGGTTAATTATTCACTGGATTTTAATTTTGCTTATTTTGCAGACTGGAAAATGCGCTAAATTGAAACCCAGTGAATATGTCAAATATAGGCTAGAATACATTATCTAAATGATAAAACCGTGAATATAAAACCCACTGAATATGCCTGAAATGATAAATCAGCAAAATTTAAAGCCAGTGATAATTATTCATTTTACAGTATTAAAATTAAATGTACATTTTTTCTTAAATACGAAAGGTTTGTCTTTCGTAGTACACAGATGTCAATCACCAATGCAACGTTTTCCTGTCATTCATCGATAAATATAAAAACACTCTTAATTTTCATTCTATAATATTTTATTTGCAATAATAGAAAATATTAAAATAAACATAATTTATATCCAAGATATGTTATAATGATAAGGCACTGTAAGACTAAATATTGGTTTAATGTAATTAACAGTGTCAGAATGCATGGATGAAATATACAAGCGAAATGTACATACTGGTAATGAATAATAATGTACATCAATGGAAACAAATTTGAATCTTTATTTCTGTGTAAAAAAAAAGATTTGTTTCTGGTGTGGCAATGCTTCATTTTTCTTTGCTGATTTTTATTCCCCTTTTTACCACATATTAGCAGAAACTAGAAAAACGAATTTTGAGTGACAGATAAGGGCACTATAAACTGGAAACATTTTTTTTAATTATTTATGAACTAATAGTAGATACCATTATTAAGTGTAGTTCACAATTCTCATGTTGCTAAGCAACTATGTATGGAAAGCACATTTAAACCAGATCTCTTGAAGATCTATTGTTTTTTATGGCCAGCATAAAACTTGTTAATTAATCTGTGGGTTTCCCCCTCTTCGTAATAGTCAGGAATTTCTGCTAGGATTAATGAAGAATGAGGCAGGCACACTTTGGTTACTATGGCGATATCTGTTGATATACATCAAAAGAAGAAAACCTACAACTGCCATCCATTGTTTGAAAAATTAGCATATTCATTATTAGAATAAAAGTGATATGTGGAAATAATTGTTTGGTACATGTATGTAAAGTTAAACAAATGTCATATCAAGTTTTCGATTGAGATAACAACGACATCAGCTATAATGGAAAGACAGACCTATCTCAGAACAAGCTGGGTAGTAAATTAATGTACAATGACACAACCATAAAGGGAGAGAGCAAGAATTCATTGGTTTTTGCTGTATATATATATATTATATATTTTATCAGTAATTTACATTACCAATTTATGTGATTAATAAAAGCAACTTTGTATATATCAATAGTTTTCATCTTATTTTATAAATTATTCCATTAAAATGTCAGTGAAGAATTTGTAAATTGTGAGTAAAAAGTAGAGACTTGTAGAAAATTATGTTTATTTGCTGCAAAACTAATAAAGAAATTATAGAAAAATAAAAAATAAATTGAGAAAAATTAAGGCATTCAATTGTTAATTGTGATTGGCTAAACTTGAAATAACACAGCAATGTAAACTGAAACTAGTCTCTAATTAAGATTAGATAAGTAAAGGGCTTGCAACTTCATTCACATCAAGTGTAGATGAGAAATCATGTAGACGACACAACTAGTTTAGTCGATTAACCATGATGTGCAAATTCATTAATAATTAATTTTTAATCATAAAATAAAAAAACTTGGCACATTATACCATACATAATGATAGAAGTTGAAGACCCTTAATTTAATCAACCCTTTACAGTGAATTTACTACACATGAGAATTGTGTAACAAGAAATTCTTTGCGTCATGCAAATTCGTCTTCATTAATTCAACTCGTTTATTTTGCATATCCTTCAATGTTTCGTACAGTAGCTTATCTGAAATGCTGGCATCAATATCAGTGTGATACAACATAGACAGAATTGCTGATTCTTTAATGGTCAAACCTTCATCAAATTCTTCCATTATCTTTAAAGAAATATATTAAAGAAATAAGATTGATAAGATAAGGGTCACATGATCTCACTTTCATAACTATGTTCAGTGATTTGCGATAAAAATCGCACACGAATTGAACTCTTGTAATTTTCGAATCTTCAAAGCGATTTCATTCCGTTGGTATCAATCATTTGTATATCTAACGAATAGTGTTACAGAATGCAGTGGAAATGCATGATTGCGTATAAATAAAAATAAAATAAGATTTTTGCCGCATTCATAAATTGTAAACAAGTGTATTAAAGGCTTTGTAACAATTTAAGGCAAGAATGATTATCAAAAAGATCTAAGATGAACATGAACCAGTTCATAAAAATGTAGGTTTTTCTTATAATTTTGTGATCACCTCGCAATTTGTGCGATTTTTTCAATTCATGTTGGAATTTCATCGCATATCACACATTTGCATACCATAATTTTATAAATCCATGATGTTATACATACACTAGGACCCCAGTAAAAGTCACTGTGATCTAAAGATCCACATATTTGAAATGCAATCACTTACCTCTCTCAGTGACTTGCCCATGGCTGTTCTTTTATCTTTGCTGACTTTTACAGCAAATGTATATCTAGCATTGTGTACGTCAGCACTCGGTGGTCTGGCAGAATGTGGAATTATGCCTGTAATTAACCATATGATTTTTAATAACTCGTAATTAACTGAACAGTAACGGTATAATTAATTTCCCATACAAAGCATCATTCGCTGCACGGTGTTGTTCTGTTTGGACATTACTCCCTCCACAACACCATGCGGTAATTCACCAGCGTTTCACAACAGCTCGCGCAGAGCCCATAGAAATACACGGTAGAGTGGTGCACGTCTTGTGACTTAGCTCGCGGCGAGGATTTTGATAGCTTGGCCAACCGCATTGATGAAATATGAAATACTTCAAGATGATAGTGGAGTGCATCGCCGGAACTTTCACCTTGAAAATTCAAGATGATACAAAGTGGCATTTAAAGAGAGATAATGGGTTATTTAGGGCCTATATATATATATCAGAGAATACTTGTACGAAGTTTGGTGATGAAATATCCTCATTTAGCTGACTTAAAATTAACTTGAGTAGCGCTGTTTTTTTTTTTAAATTTAAAATGATTATTACAAGAAATTAAAGCGGAGGAGTATTCACCAGCGAATGTGCAGGAAATGTGAGTGCCAAACAACAATAACAAGGCATGATAAAACACAAAGGCTCATGGGTAGACCATTGTTTGTAAGCTATGGTCGTTTGCCACATGCATAATTGACAATCCTTCACTTTAAAGTGTACTATTTAGAAACAGTCTTTTAATGACACAGACTGAAGAGTGAATTAACCACTAGACTTTAATATGGTGAACAAACAGATTAAAGGGGAACCGCTCAATCCCATGGATTGCACCAAAAAATCATGGGACACTATTGCTTATGTTGTTTACAAAGTTAATCTATCTTTTGTTATCAATTGTAATTTTAATCCAGAAAGTAAATTTGTTGTGAGATTAGGCTTAACTGGAAGTGCCCCTTTAAGATTGATATGCTATGTATTGATGTCAAGAGAAGTCATTTTAATGTGCATCTTCAGAATTATTACACAGTGCTTACTAAGCCATGGTTGTCGTGTAGTACGTGTTCGTATTTCATGTAAACAAACAATGTATTTTACATGCATTATGTACGTCCCATACCGAACAGGACCACGCCCTTTAATTAACTTGTAAATATTCATAGTATAATTAGATGCAAGCAACTACTGTATTGAAATACAAAATGCAAAAATATCTTTTTACACACATAATCTGCATAAATTAGGTAGAAGCTTCAATACAAACTAGTTTGATAAATTCACAAATGTTTTTTACACTTTCATAGAACATATTGAATGTGCCTAGAAACCAAATTAAATAAATCATCCAAAATCAGTGATCAAGAATGTCAACACTAATAGTGTACGTTAGTTACCATGGTTACCACAGTCTGATGTCACTTAATACGTTAAAATTTCATTAAATACTTTAATTAAAAGTCAGCTATACTATTCAGTTTGCAATATATCAATTATAATTCAATTTAGATGCATAAATCAAAATTGTAATTTTTTTTTAGTTTAATTTACCATCATATTTCATTTAAATAAAACACACCGTATTTGCTCTATTAGAGCAGCACCTAGGCCAAAAATAAAATACTGGATTATTAATAAAATATCTAAAAATAAAAACAAACATAGCGTCGGTCGATACTCTCGCTGTAGGCAGTTCAAGCATATTTTTCGGTATTCTCGTAATAACCTCATAAGCTCATAAGCTTCTGATAGATACAGTATTTCGTAAGTAATAAATTAAGCCATGTATTTCTGACTAGTTTGAAACACTACAGCTTTCGCATAATGTGTCATTACTTTCACATTCACAGTCACATTAAAGTCACACATTTAACACATTGCAATGGTATCACCCATTTGTCACAATGATTCTGCATATTTGTTTCACACTAATACATTACATAGTTGCTTTGTATATTTTAAAGACTTGAGTGACAATCTAAATCTTGATTGTCCAGCTCTGCAATAGAATTTCTTTTTTATTGCTTTTCGTCAAAAAACAAAACAGTCTAATTGCAAAAAGAAGTAAATGATGTCAATGTTTTACTGTCAAAGAAAATTGTCCCTCATTAACATATCCAATGAATGCAAAATGAACATCCGTCATCTTTCCCGAAATTAACATGTATAACAATGTAGATGTAGCTAATGAAAATTTAGTGCAAAAAAAAAAAAAAAAAGTAAGAAATAAGAAATAAAGACAATTCCTGATTGGTTGAATGGTACTAGTGTTAGGATTGATTATAAAATTATAACATACCACGAAATATGGCAACCCGTCCATATTTAGGTGTTACAGCGCCGATTGGTTCGTATTGTTCATTACCAGTGCTTTCACCAACCAAATGAGTAATTGGATCATTAATTTCATTGAAGTAAACTGTCTCCCCATATTTGTTGACGTCCCAATCCGGATTCATATAGAGCAGGAAAGTGAATTCATCCTTGAGTGAAAAGAATTGATAAGTGAATTTACTCTCACTAAGCACGCATAGAAATTAATGACAAATGAACATATTTTTACTGAGCATGCGAGAAATGTTTCCTCACTGGGCACCATCAAGTGTTTGTGTTCAACCATGCGAAAACATTTTCTTTGGATGAAGATAATTCAAATTTTATTTGCATCACTTAACAAACCCACAAAATGATATTACATATACTATTATAATCACAACTGAGTAATAATCAATGTTTCTAACAACTCAAAAACTAGTTATTTACCTGTTAAATAATGTAACCTGCTTACGCAACTGTGTGATTGCTTGCTACTAAACCAATGTGTTTTTATTTGAAACTTGTTCTATACTTTCATTTGCCAAGTAAATTAAAACTAATACATATCATTACATTAGACAGTACATGTATCACAGGGAAATGCCAAATATTTTTTTGAGACTATAAAATTTAACAATTTGTTATGCATGTTTTAGAACCAATTGAAGGCATTTTATTCCTGTCTCACGCCTAAAATTAGAAAAATGACGGCATTATTTTTGATATCTTGCAAGCCATGTCATGAATAGTGTATTGAAGCTATAATAGATTGAAATTGCGATAACAAAAATGTGCCAAAAGTTCTCCCTGGACATGTTTCGGAGCAAGCTCCAAAAATATGACCCGTCCTCCAAAAAATCACGTAAAACAAGATATCAGACAAATACAATAGTTGTCTTTGCCCCTAAAACAGTTACTCAGTGAACAATGTTTGACAGAAGGAATAGAACACGATTTGAGCATTTCTTTTTTTCTCTCTCCCTCTCTCTTCAGTCTGAGTTCTATTAACAAAAATTTACCTCAAACTTTTCGCAGTCGGTATGGATATGTGTGTGATCTGCATTTCTGATAACATTCAGCGACACGTCATATGGATACCACTCAGTTCTGTTGTTACTAATGTGTTGAGCAACTTGAGACACAACGTCCCAAACGTTACTAGGAAGAAATGAATCAACCTGAAAAACAGGTATTAATTAATTTGGTTACTATGATGAATATTAGTGCATGTTTATTTCAAAGTGTGACATTTTACAATATAGTAAATAATAATGTCATGTTCTTTATTCTTACATATGTGCCCGGGGGGTCACTCTATATGCTGTTACTACCCCATGTGCGTTCCAAATTTAGCGGGGAAGCAGAGTGTTTTTCAACTTCTAATTTATTTATTTATTAACACACAACATCCCCCGGAGGGGATGAAAAGGGTTACAAATCAGATATTAGTAAAAGAAAAATAACCACATAAAAAGAAAGGGAACAAAAAGGCATAAAAAAAAAAAAAAAGATAATAATTTGAATACGAGGAATGTATTACTGGCTTAGTTTACGTAGGTGCTGCTGTCTTGTATTAAAACAGTTTTTTAAATAAAGCGGGCCCGCGCAGGGAGCAAATAGGCCCCTTTTAAAATGCTAATGTCTGCAATAGGCCCGCTTTAGGCCCCCTCTTGCAACAACCACTCCCATACACCGCCCTAGGCCCCGAATTGGCGGACCCATAGCCCCGACCAGGCCGCAAACGTCTGCCCGAACCTTCACACCGAGACTTTGCCGCCACTTCCAACACGAGCATACGGAGGCTTATTGTAATCGAAGAAACAAAACAAAACGAAACGAAACGGGATAACACAATAATAATAAAAATTAAACTGTATTCAGTGACAATGGCTGAAAATAATATTTAAGCAATAAACCACCGCCGGAGACGAAACTTGACCAGTATTTTTATTTATTTATTTGTTACTACCCTTTTACATCAGGGGTTCACTAATTAGTAATTAGGAGCTGCAATAAAAATTATTGGAAAAAGCACATACTATATAAATGAAAAAGGAAACAGACAATTTAAAACTTAAAAGGAAGTACAAAAATGTAAAACTTAATGAAAATACAAAAAAATAAAACCTTTGAACTTAAAGTAAATACAGTAAATAAATCTAATCTACATAATCTCTTCTATAATCCCATGACATCAATAAGATATCTTTCCACAATTCTATTGAATATATTTACTTTTCAGTCGTGTATTTAACACCCTAAAATATTTGCCGAAAACAACGGGATTTTAATTAGTAAGTAAGTAAACGTAAGTAAGTAAACGTAAAAGTAAGTAAACGGTTCGTTTCGCTAATTAAAGATAATCGGAAATCTGCAATCACGCTGCGAAACAAGGGTCTTACAGGTACAATAATCACAACTATCGGACGAAACTTGAGCGGTATTTTTACCTTTCAATCGTGTATAAATCTTCATAAAAAAATTGTCTATAATTAGCGAAACGAACCATTCACTAATTAAAATCCCGCTATTTTCGACAAATGTTTCATGGTGTTAAATGCACGACTGAAAGGTAAATACTAGTATACTGGTCAAGTCAAGTATCGTCTGACAGTTGTGAATATTGCTACGTGTCAGACCTGAATCTGATTACAGATTTTCGATTATCTGTAATTAGCGAAACGAGCCATATGCGTATTAAATATTATTATTTTCGGCAAATATTTTGTGAATATTGTGCGTATAAAACCCATTTTCCCTGATTACAGTTTAATTTTCATTATGTGTGTTATCCCATTTCGTTTCGTCGATACAATAAACCGCATACAGAAAGTCATTTCCCAGAATCATTCACACTTCCGAAACTCCTTTCGCTCCTCGGCCTTATTCTCATTCAGCTCCGGCTTTTTTCTGGGTTTTCTGCCCTGCATTCATGCCAAACTCTCTCAAAGTTGAATATAAAATGGTAATGGTATCCGATGGAATAAGAATCCTGGCAAAGTTGTGTGCATTGTGATCATATTCACAATCATGTCAATAGTTCTGATCTTTCTTCATCAAACAACGAATGACACCAACAGGAGTTGCATACACAGTAACTTGTTTGAGTTGATCACACTCCACTTGATTGCAAAAAACGGCAGAGAATCCTCGCAATAGGGGGTAGGATGTTCTCAATATATGTCTGAAATAAGGGGTGTTTTTTTCTTCAATATGTCTGCTCCAGGGGGTACTAAATTTACATTGCGTCCGCAATAGGGGGTATGGTTTATCAATGTGCTGCCAGTCCTAGGGGCCTATTATTTTTTAGCAAGAACGCACATGGTGTAAGGTTTTAATATTGAGTGACCCCCCGGGCATATGTGGCAGTTTATGAAACAAAGACAAGAAAAATAAACTAAAAATATAGGGTCACCATACTCAGTTAAGAGAAAAATGATGTATATTATAATGTAAATTAAATGTTTTATTTTACAATTGTTTCCTATGGCAAGGATAAATCTTAATATCTCGAAATTTTCGCCAGTAACACATGGTGAAAAAGTTATATATATATAGTGTCATTGCAATGTCCTTGCTCATTTCTTGAAGTATTACATAATTGATATTATTTTATAGTGTTGATGTGTTTTCATTATGGTCTATGGCTGCTGAATTCGACATTTTTTTTTTCTCAAAAACCAGATTGACAATGAATTAAAATAATTCATATATTGTTCCCTAATACTAAAATTATTAATTGTAAAAAGATTTTAATCAGAAATAAATTATTGTAAGAAAAATATGTGATAATGATAAACTGGTTTGTATTCCTTCCTCAATTATAGCTTAAGGTTTTGAGCAAGTAAGTTTAAAACACTTAAATGGGAGGAGTTGTCACCTGCGCATGCATCAGATGGCCATAGCGTGTCATTGTTTACAAACAAGCGTCTACCCATGATCCTGTGCGTTTTTAGCGTGTGTTGTTATCGTCACTTGGGACTCGATTCCCACGTGTGCGCAGGTGATGACCGTCCCACTTTAAATAAATCCGATTTTGGGACAAAACGCTTTGTATAAAACATACATAATAATTTTAATATAATACACTGTTCATAATAAAATGGCTGAAGGATTTTATATTTTTCAACTCAAATTCGGAAATTATTGCACATACATCTACAACCAGCCTCCTCTATTTTAGGTCTAAGAGGAAGTGGAGCATTTCTAATATTTGCTGTTGAGCAGATTAAACTAATAGTGAAATAGACATACTGTGAACATTTTTATCCAGTTCACGTTGTCACCGTCCTCCGGTAAAGTGACATCGGTATCAGCAAAACGCAATTTTCCCTTAACAGTCGTGAGAAATTGGTACAATATATCCAATTGTTCTTTTGTGAATAAATCATCATAAACTGCAACAGGTCTAAAAATGAAGAATACAGATATCGATGATAGGTCAGATGATTTGATTGGTCAAATATATGAATGTTTGAATTTGATTGGTCAAATATATGAATGTTTGAATTTGATTGGTCAAATATATGAGTGTTTGAATTTGATTGGTCAATTATATGAATGTTTGAATTTGATTGCTCAAATGTATGAAGTATAAGTAGGTCAAATATATAAATGTTTGAATTTGATTGGTCAAATATATGAATGTTTGAATTTGATTGGTCAAATATATGAATGTTTGAATTTGATTAGTCAAATGTATGAATGTTTGAATTTGATTGGTCAAATATATAAATGTTTGAATTTGATTGGTCAAATGTATGAATGTTTGAATTTGATTGGTCAAATGTATGAATGTTTGAATTTGATTGGTCAAATGTATGAATGTTTGAATTTGATTGGTCACATGTATGAATGTTTGAATTTGATTTGTCAAATACATGAATGTCTGAATTTGATTGGTCAAATGTATGAATGTCTGAATTTGATTGGTCAAATGTATGAATGTTTGAATTTGATTGGTCAAATGTATGAATGTTTGAATTTGATTGGTCAAATGTATGAATGTCTGAATTTGATTGGTCACATGTATGAATGTTTGAATTTGATTTGTCAAATACATGAATGTCTGAATTTGATTGGTCAAATGTATGAATGTTAGAATTTGATTGGTAAAATGTATGAATGTTAGAATTTGATTGCTGTCGCATATGACTTGTTTACCACTTCCGTGTCACTGAGAATGTTCTAGAAACGTACTGTGTCTGGGTAGAATATTCTAGATTTTTAGGAACTGGTTGGATAGGTAATAGAACACCGTAGAAGGCAATAGAAGGTAATGGAACATTCTAGAAATTTGTACATGTAGTAAGTTCCAGACTCATTATGTATGCTGATGTAATGGTCTATTTATAGACAGTGGGAGTATATATAGGGGAGTTGTTCAGCACTGAGTTCAGATCGGAGATCTCGTTGTATTGTATTGGAGTTTAAGTATCTAGTTATTGGAGTAGTGGAGTTTTACCACGTTATTTTACTTGATGTTTGCAGAGTATAATAATACCAGTACCAGTTGAAACCTCATCTGTTGGCTCCGTGTTCGTATTTTATCATCGCCGCCAGGGAAGTCTTTCTGTTACTGTTGCCATTTTGGTATTTGAACCATCACACCTGTACTATACCAATTACGGTAAAATTACGTTGCGTGTGACAATTGGTCAAATGCATGAATGTTTGAATTTGATTGGTCAAATGTATGCATGTTTGAATTGGATTGGTCAAATGTATAAATGTCCGAATTTGATTGGTCAAATGCATGAATGTTTGAATTTGATTGGTCAAATGTATGCATGTTTGAATTTGATTGGTCACATGTATGAATGTTTGAATTTGATTGGTCAAATATATGGAGTACAAGTAGGTCGAATGTGTGAATATGATAATTAAATAAATCCTACCTTCCCTCTCCATCATAGAATTTTCTTGTAAGATGTTTATCTAAATCATATTTTGGTATTATGCCTGGTAATGTGGGAAATACCTCAGATTTGAAGAATATATTTTCAGTTTCCAAAAGTCTCTACAAATACAATAAGAAATAATAGGGATAACTCATTTATCAGTAGTTTTCATTTCTTAATTCTATTCTATTTTATTTCTTTTCAATTCTATTCTCTTTCAATTCTATTCTATTGCTTTTTGATTCTATTCAACTGTATTGTACTCAATTCAATTCAATTCTATTCTACTCTAATCTTTTCCTTTTCAATTCTGTTCTATTCTCTTTCAATTCTATTCTTTTTTATTCTATTCAATTCAATTACATTCTACTCTAATCTATTCCTTTTCAATTCTGTTCAATTCTATTCCTTTTTATTCTATTCTATTCAATTCAATTCTATTTTACTCTAATCTATTCCTTTTCAATTCTATTCTATTTTTATTCTATTTAATTCAATTCTATTCTACTCTAATCTATTCCTTTTCAATTCAATTCTATTCTACTCTAATCTATTCCTTTTCAATTTCTATTCTATTCTATTTTGATTCTATTCAATTTTATTCTATTCAATTACTATTCAATTCTATTGTATTTTTTTCTGTTTCATTTTGAATTCTATAATACATGCCGGAAATTTAATTAAAGCATTGTTAGACAATTCTAAACTTAACACAAAAGATAAAATTAGTTGTTGTTAGTGTTTCAATAAGAAAGTGAATGGACAAGAGACTGTAGGTTAATGTATGATTTATCGCTTACATTTAACTCTGAGGCAGTATTTCGATCAAACTAACCTTTTTGGATTTCTCCAATTCATATTCATATTTTTCTTTTGAATCTGTAGCCTGAACCAACAGAATAAGACCACTGAAAACCTGTGCAATGGAGGGAGGGTGATACATATGTGGAATAGTGCCATTCCAGAAGGTGACACGACCAGACTGGGGATGAGCCGTCCATAGAATACTGGATACAGATCCATTGCGGTGTCTGGAGTAGAGGGACAGGTTACCATAGTCATTCTTTTTCCAGTTAATATCACTCAAAAACAGCATCAGCATAAAATCGTCACTTGTTGTCTCTTCCAAAACTAATGGTTCAAACCTTCTTGTGATAGTGCCCATTACAGAAAATGGATAGAGTGTTTTGTGTGTGACACCAGATACCGCTCTGCTCATGGCCTCCCACAAATATGTTTTGGAAAAAAATTCCAGTTGCATTTCGGACCTCCATAATAAATTTGATTTATCAACATCCCCAAGTTTATCATGATAATTCCATATGCTAAAATGAAATGCTGCAATACGAAGCTGTTCTAGGAGTTCATCAGTAAAGAGGTCATCAAAGACGGCCGCCTGACAACCATCTTTAGTATCATAGCTATGTACTAGATGTTTGGTGACATCAAAATTGGTTTCCGTAGCAACCGCACTGTAGTTACTAAGTAGAAAGAATGCTAACAAAAATAGTCCTACTTCACCGAAGTCTTGCATCTTTGTCATTTTGTACCATTGTTTTGTTTCCTTAGATAAATAAAAACAGACATTGTTATACTAAATAAGATGAATAAATTTAATTACTGTAAAATGACTAATTTTCACTGGGTTGAAATTTCACTGATTTAGCATTTCAGGCATATTTAGTGTGTTTTAAATTCACGGTTTTATCATTTAGATAATGTAATCTATGTTCATTTTTACATATTCACTGGGTTTTAATTTAGCACATTTTCCAGTCAGCGAAATAAGCAAAATTAAAACCCAGTGAATAATTAACTCTTTTACAGTTACATTAATAAACAATCCATTTCAGGAAGCCATTAAGCAAAGAATTAAATACTACAATACATAGAATGACAGCTGTAAAAATGCTGGATTTCCTAGTTCTTTCTGTTTTATAATGACAAATAATAATACCCTGGTAATGATATTTTTTTTATTGATTTGTCACACTTTATTATGATGAGTATATTGGATTATGATATAATCTGAAAAAGTTATTCCCACAGTATACAACTGAGTACTTCTTCGATGAAACAATGAAATTCTATAATACGCATATGCACTGTTTTTTTGGGTACGTAAAAATAACAATCACTCCACATGCACATTTTGCATTTTTCATCTAAAGAATAACATACAATGCAAAGCAAAATCACCATTTTTAGTTTCTGATAAATCATACAACATTAATTAACTTATCATATCAACCAAAAATATTAAAAATTATGTGTTTTCTTTTATATTGCATTTATAATTTCAGAGTGTTAAAATCAGAGTACCACAGTGGTAATACAGTACACAATCATAATTTGTGTAAACAAACAAACAAACAAATAAACAAACAACCTAAGTGACATGCAATGTATATCAAACATTTTAATATTTAAAAAAAATAATTAATTATTATAAGCAAAGCAAAATGAGATTAAAAACAAATGTGGAAAACCACTTTAGTTTCAGCCAGATTAGTTGCATTTCAAACATATTAATTTAAGTGCAAAACTGAATAAATAATTAAATTCTTAAAATATACATATATGTCGTGTCAAAGTTTTATTAATTTCAAAATGTGAAATATGCTTATTTTATTATTGTAAGAAAAATCTACTCAAGTTTTGAAAACAGATTGTATGTGGAGAAAATACTGTTGAAGTAGCTAGTTGGCTTATTAGCAAATTTACTCAGGGTATAAATTAACAGAACCTTAATATCGACGAATAATATCAAAATTGAGGACTAGGGGATTACAAAGCATGGCCCAGCTTTTCAATGGAAATACCACATGACATGTTGTCAACTAAAAAATGGGCGGTGGTCGTCACGAAGCGCGTGTTCGAATTTCATGTAAATAAACAATGTATTTTACACGCGTTGTGTACATCACTATGAGTCCCATATCGAACCAAATGCGGTGCAACGACCACCACCCTTTAGGCCAGACTTTTATTATCCCTTGTTTTGCAAACCCGTCGCAGGAGCCGAAAATGAAATAAAAATATAATTATATTTCAGCGTAATTTCAGGTTATACATGGAATAAAATTTTATTTCATTTCTTCTCTCCGACCAATGATTTCACTTACAATTCTATGAGAATCACACAAATCTAACGGAAAAAAAGAATTAATTTTTTTTTTTTTTTCGCCCTCCTCAAAAAAATTGCCTTATTGCGAAACAAGGAATAAAAAAAGTCTGGCCTTAATCTGTTTGAAAATAAGGGGCCATTTGATTTACTAATTTACCAGATAAAAGAACAAATAGTGTAAGACATACTTCCTTGAAATAGAATTGATGTGAATAATAACCAAGCTTCAACAGCAATGGCTTCTGAAAGCTTCCAGTAAAAAAAGGCGAAACAATAAGGTTCGATGTGCATGAGTGGGGGGGGGGGGTACCGACCAGAACTTTTGAATGATCATAACCTGAAAGACACTTTCCTTCAACACATATAATTGTTTGTTTGTCTTTATTCACATCTGTATTGCATTTTAGTCAAAATCGTAATAGGGATACGAACGCAATAGATAATTATTATTATTATACAAAGTATTTGCCGACCGACTATAGTCAATCCTGTTGCCATAAGAGCGCACTCGAGCCCGGACACTTAATTTATTCCGAGGTCAAAGCTACAACAAATGTTGATACATTACACGCTTCAAGGTGAACTTGCGGTTTCTTAGTGACAAGGAAACCATACCCAACGGTGGATGAATTTTGCACGAAGCAGAGGACAAGCAATGGCCTAGCTGCAGTCACGTGGCAATTGGTGTACGCTGTACAGTTAGTTCGTCCGCTACGAAACACTGTTTAAGTTTACGCCATACATGAATGCAACGATGTCGTGTAGTCCGCCGCCCTTCCTGTACTTACCTGCGAATATGATGAAAGGTTGGTGACCCATGAACAAATGATAACCATCTGTAAGACACGTGGTAAAGGATCAGTATTTGCACAAGGGGGCATCAGTTCCGTTCAACGTACGTGTCAAAATGATCTTCAACAGTCGACGTCGAGATATACACAAACACGATACAAGTTATTTATCTCAGTTCCGTGTTCTCTTTCAACTGCCTCTAGACGGCGCAATTTTGTCTGCTTGCAATGTGTTGATACCTGTCTAAGCGTTGGTATCAGCCAATGATGATTTTCGCTCGTTACTTAAGAAAGTAACCGTGACTCTGGCAGAAATGCCAAACAACGACTCTAAGCAAGCACAGTTTTCGCTATGAAAAAGGCCACAGATCGTAAAAACCATAAACACCATGCCAGTTTACAATAATAAGAACATAGTCAAATCCACTAGTATAACTAAATAACAATACATAAATACATAAACAAAAACATACTAAAACAGTTTAACAAAAGGGCTTGGAAAAATCAGGGAATTGATAATTACTGTATCGCATAACCATACTTTCTTTTATAAAAATGTTACCCATAATGTATTTTAAATTCTGACTCTTCATCCATCAAATGGAAATTAACAGTTTTATTTCTAATTGAGTCAAACAATTTGTTCCTGATTGTAATATGTTGTGGGCATTTCATAACATAATGGTATTCATCCCAATATCACATGTGTTATTATCACGTGGTGCGGTGTATCTTTAGTTTCCGCGAGCGTATTTTGTGCCACGAGTCCGGGTACACAGGGCGTCGTTAACATCAATATAGGGCATACAAAAATTCCCTTTATACTGTGCATATATGTAAATTTTAATGTTACGAGGACCAGAAATTGTTATTGCCGGAATTTTGTTCAAAAACAACGTAATGTAGGTTTTTAAATTGTCTTTATTTACGGTCACGGTGTGAGTAAATAACGCGCACGCTTTCGTTGGGTTCGAAAATCGAACACTTCCATGGCAATGTTTTGGTGAGCGTCTTTGAAAGTAGTACCACTGTGACGCATCGACCAATCAACGACAAGCATAAGATCGCGTGGTGGCAGAGATATATTCGTAATAGAACTCTGCCTGGGGAGATTGGGTCACGGTGTGAGTCACGGTAAATAACGCGGTATTTGTATATTAGGTGTCTGTGAATGTTGTCGATTTCCATTACTTTTAAAAACTGCATTAGCTACTGGTTGGGAATACAACAGATGGGTCCTAATAGATCATTGGTTTTGGATTTGGTCATGGGCGAAAGTATGGCTGGGCCAAAGTGTGGGGTATGTTTCTTTTACCGTTCACACAAAAGATAAACATTTCTGAGGCGATGACACAAATCTCCGTTATATTCCATAGATCACAAGTGCAATATTTGACTTGTTTTTATGTTTTCAAATTTAGCGCTGCGTTAACACATGCAACCAACTTCACATTAAGGACGAATATGTTTTGTAGTTATTCACCCCACTATTACCGTATTATAACATAATTACTGCATATATAGATTAACACTAACTACCCACTACACCAAATTATG